GGGGTGCTTTTGATGCCTTCCAGCTGAAGAGATCTCATGCTGTGTCGTGCTGGGTGAGGCTGCCGAGGGCTGTAGGGTGTAGGTGCAGTTCCCCTGCCTGCTGGGAAGCTCTGCTGAGGGTTTGTTCCTCACAGCCAGTTGTGGGTCCTTACATCTTGCTGTTTCCCTGTAGATGCAGTCCCCTCAACCACTGCAGAGATGATACCTGTGTCCAAGCCACCGGTGTTTGTTGTGACCTCTCCTGGGCCGATGCCTGCATCCACAGCTCCTGCCCTGGCCAGCTCCTCACTTCTGGACAGTCTGAAGAAGATGCAGAGCAGCCAGGCTGTATCCACAACACCAGGTGAGGAGGAGAGTTGGCACAGTGGAATGCCAGCAGAGTCAGGCAGGTGCAGCAGGAACTCCTCGTTGTCCCTGAATGAGGCAGCTGACAAAACCCTCTGTGCAAATGCTCTGCTGGCAGCAGAGATAGCATTCAGGGCTTGAGGGGACACCTTTGGGGATGCTGAGCTGCTCAGCTCTCCTGCTGGAGGCTATGGTAACTGTGGAGGGCTAGGTGTGATGGGAGCTCCGGGAACCTTTGCAGCCATGGGTCCAGTACCTGGCAGAAGGATGGGCTTCTGAAGGTGTCCCCTTGTCCGTAAATAAGCTCTTTCCCCTTTGCAGACTCCACTGGAACTGTGGCAGCATCCCAACCACCTACGTCAGCTGCACAGCCACCTGCTACTTCTGTGTCATTGGAGTCAAGCTCTCTGCCTGCCGTCTCTGCTGACACCAAGCCTGTGCCTATATTGAGCACACCTTCCCCCAGTGCTCCCCGTGCCCTGGTGGTGCAACCCCCCAGCAGCCTGGCCCCTCCTGTGTTCACTGAGCTGGGCCAGACCCCCAGCAAGCCTCCCTCCTTCCCAAAGCCAAGCATCCTATTTGGAATGCTGAACACCCCGCCAGCCAGCCAGCCAACAGTGACTTTGGCCACTACCATGCCCACCACGGCCACTGCCATGCCCACCATGGCCACTGCTACACCCACTGCTTCCACTGCTGTGCCCACCCCACCCACTGCCATGTCCACCACAACCCCCATCTTCAAACCCATCTTTGGTGATGTGCTGAAGAGTGAGAACACAGCAGTCTGCACAGCTGTCACTTCTACCACAGCCACCATGCCTGTAAGCTCAGGCCCTGCCTCAGTGTCCTCCACATCCTCCATATTCAAGCCCATCTTTGGCAGCATCACTGCAGCTTCATCTCCAGCGAAAGTCTCTCCTTTCGCCTTCAAACCCGCAGCACAGTCAGCCTCAGAGCCAACAACTGCCTCCACAGCTACTGTGGCAGGAATCTCGGGTTTTCCCAACGTCATCTTCACCACTGCAGCTACAACTGCCATCACCCAGAGTTCCTCCACGGAGGCCACCATTAAACCTGTCTTCAGCTTTGGACCAACCCCGCCTGCTTCCTCTGGCCCTGCTGCCATTGTGACTGTCACTGCTGCCACCTCCACCAGCACAACACAGCCTTTCCTGTTTGGGGGCGTCTCCAGCTCTGCTCCTAGCACAGAAACCAGCTTTGCCCCCTCAGGGCCTGTGTTCCAGTTTGGGAAGCCACCTCCAGCTGCAGTCACTGCCACCACCAGTGTCCCAGGAGGCCCTGCCTTTGGCCAGGTACCTTCAAACTCAACGGTTGCTGCGACCACCATGGGCTTTAGCATATTTGGGAGCACTACACTGACCACCTCTGCCCCAGCCACCACAGCTCAAGCACCGCTGACATTTGGCTCCTCTGCTTCAGCTTTTGGCAGCTTTTCAGCCAGCGTAAAGCCACCGCCACCATACCCTGGCACTGGGAGCCAGCTCACCTTCAGCACTGGGGCTGCTGAGAGCCAGGTGCCCACCAGCAAGCCTGCTGCTGGCCCCATCAGCTTCACCTCCCCGTTCAGTTTCGGAGCTTCCCCGGCACAGTCAGTAGCTCAGCCAGCATTTGGCAGTGGTGCCCAGCCAGCCTTCGGCACAACCAGTACCCAGGGCTCCTTTGGCACCAGCAGCACCCAGGCAGCGTTTGGGACCACCACCTCAGTGTTCTCTTTTGGAACAGCCACGTCCACCACATCCAGCTTTGGTGCTACCACCCAGACCACAAGCAGCAGCACTGGTGCCACTGTTTTTGGCACCACCCCATCTCCATTCACTTTTGGGGCCAGCACCCAGCCAGGCCCCTCCACCAGTGCTTTTGGGATGGGTACGCCGGGCCTCAGCAGTGGGTCCCCAGCTGTGGCCTTCAGCTTCGGGGCTGGGCAGAGCGGGGCAGCCCCGGCAGCAACACCCTTTGGCTCGTCTCTGCCACAGAGTGCACTGGGAGCACAGGGCCAGAGCACGCCCTTCGCCTTCACCATGACCAGCACTCCCAGCAGCAAGCCTGCATTTGGAGGTGAGTCATTATGGAATCATGGAATGGGTCATGTTGGAAGGGACCTTAAAGATAATGTTAATCCACCCCTCTGCCCTGGGCAGAGACACCTTCCACTAGACCAGGTTGCTCCGGGCCCTGTCCAACATGGCCTTGAACATTTCCAGGATGGGACGGGGGCAGACAGGCCATGTTGAGGGTCTAGAGTTGGGCAGTAGTATTCCTGATGGACCTTGCCAAGGCTCCCAGGGTCCCCAGCTCTGGTGAGGCCCGTGCTCCTGCTATGCAGAGTCTTGCCCTACAAAGGGAAGGCATCCCATCACTCCCTGTAAGGATCCTGGCCCTCTGGGGAGGGGAATCCCTAAACTCTGCTCATGGCCCCTCTGAAGGCACCATCTCCACCCATCCAAAATCCGGCAGGAGCCGAGGTCATCTTGAGTCCTTAAGAACCACCTGGAGGACCTTAGTGAGCTGGAATGCTGCCAACCAGCAACTGCCATCACTTCATGCTTGCTCTCAGGGTTTTCCTAACACTTCAGATCCTTGCTGGATATTCCCAGCTCCCATGGAACTGAAACCCACACAGTGAGCAACTCCTTGATCTAGCAAGGCCAAGGTCTTTAAGGTCTTTGTTCCTCCCTGACAAATCCTTCTGTGTGGCCCTGCTGTTCAGAGAGCCCAGGGATTATCTGGAGAGTGTAACTTTTGCATTAAAAGGGCTTTTCAGGAGCAGAGGTTGGTTCTGGGAGATGGATTGTGGTGCTTCAGCCCCCAGAGAGCATCCTGTGCCTCCTCTGAGTGCCACCGGCTCCCGAAGGCTCTTTCTTCTTTGCCAACCTTGGCTCACAGTGACCTGTTGCTTTCCAGGAGCTCCAGTGCCCACCTTTGGGCAGGGCACACCTGTCCCTGGAGCCGTGGGCAGCGGAAGTGGCACCCTTTCCTTCAGGACACCCAGCACTCCTGCCTCAAGCTTTGGAGGAGTTGGCACTTCCTTTGGTAAGGAGGGAGTTGGTGCTCCAGCCCTGGGGAGCTCATGGGTCATGGTGTCCCCTTAGGCTGGAGACAGTGGTAGGGCCAGGTGTTCTCTGGGAGACGGCTCAGGGAGTACATGCTGGACTCTCGAGGATGCCAAGCCTTCCGTTCCTCCCAGGGTGAGGATCACACTGATTCCAAAGCTAGCAACCTGAGCAACCTTTCTGCTTCCAGGTTCATCCACTCCCGCCTTCTCCATCGGGGCAGGATCCAAGATGGGCACTCGCCAACGGCTGCAGGCACGGAGGCAGCACACCCGCAAGAAGTAACCCTAGTGCTGCTGGGCTCCACTGGCCCACGTGTGGGGAGCTCTGGACTGGAGCTGTCCCTATGGTGGGACCAGGCCCCATCCCTGACACTCACTGGATACCTTGCTGGGACAGGATAAGCCAAACTCTTGTTACTTGAACAGTTCCAGAGCCAAGACTGGACAAATCTCTGTACATATCCACAATGTTCTTTCCCTCAATTTATTTTGCCTTGTTTAATAATGTGCACATTTCTCTCCATTTGCTTCTTCTAGCTGTTTCCATGCCCCTCCCCAGCCCTCAGCCAGCCCCAAGGCCATGTCCTGCTCAGAGCTTGGCTGGTGACATGCTGTGGTTCTGAGTTGCTGTCAGACAACATCTTCACCAAGTCCTGAAATCTTTCCCATTGTTCATCCCATGGCCTGGTGAACATGGTCCCATGCCTGCAGCCAGGGTGGGTTCCAACCTGGCTCTGTTTTGGTGCCACAGGTGACTGCCATTGATGTGGCTGGGTGGCACCCCTGGGACCTAATGTCCTGCTACCTCCAGCTGAGGACATGTCATAGCCTGGGACCTGGGCTGGAGGCACGGGGTGAGGATGGGGTCCCCCCACCCCTCTCCCATCTCCGCTGCTCCATGGGGCTGTGGGCTGCCCCCCACTCTGCTCCCCAGTTCTGCTTTATGTGTGCTCCTGTTCCTGTTCTTACTGAATCGAGTTTGGAGGAAGAGCTAAACCGTGTGTGTGGCGGCATGTTGGTTATGCCGGATTTGCTGTTTGGAGTTTCTTTTTCGGGGCACCAGTCCTTGGGGGGAGACGTGCCCTGGCTAATTGGGTGTTGACAGTAGCATCACTGCGTGGCTGCTCGTGCTGGGGAGTTGTCCCTTCCATGTCGTGACTAAAAGGCAGCTAGGACAGGGGATTCCAACTATGGCAGTCTCTCCACTCCCTTCCCCTCTCTCCTTCCCCTCTTTTCTGCACTTCAGAGGGCTCTGGAATTGCTCCCAGGAGTCCAGAGCAGATGCATTCTCCCCTCCATCCCAAATCCAAGTTGTTTTTCATTCTTCAACTCATTTCCATCCCAGTGCGTTTTACTGGCTCCTAGGAACTGTGGTGCTGCCTCCCCTGTCCCCATCCAGTCAGGAGTGGGATTTACACCCTTCCCTGCCTTGGAGCTTCTGTGGGAAGAGACTTCCAGAGCTGGGGGTCACCAGAGAGCCACTCCCTACCCTGTCCCTGGTGAGGGATGGGCACTCTATTTCCAGGAGTGCTTTGCTGCCGGGTTTTTACTCTCCGAGCCGTGTGAGTGTGTGTGTTTGCTGGGATCTAAATTTAAAAAAAAAAAAAAAAAAAAAAACCAAAAAAAAAATCACAAATATTTAAACATTTTTTAACAAAATAAAAATTTATTTTTATATTTAAGCTAAATTGCCTTCAAATTCCTTCAAGCTTGGTTCAGTGAAGTTGCCTACCCCTAGCCCTTAGTGTTTAGCTATTCCCAACCTGGCTGTGGCTGTGGGAATGCACTGTGCTGGGAAAGGCAGCTGCATCCTGCAGGCTCTACCATGCTCCCCCTGCTGTTCATCATCCCCTTCCTTTTAAATGTGATGTATGTGGATGTGACTAAACCTTTTTTTGTTTGTTTTTTTTAAAGTTTTTAATTATTTCTCTGAGGGTGAGGAGCAGGAGCTCCCATGTTATGGTGCTGAGTGCCAGGGTCAAGACATGTCTCCCAGCAGAAAGGGCAGGTGATGGGCTCTGTGAGACACAGAGGGGACACAGTCCTGTAGTAAGGGGACATAGACGACCTCCAGGTGCTGGTGGGAATGTTCTGGCCATCACCTACCAGCATGGCTGTGGGTGCAGTGGGCCAAGAGCAGCCAAAGCTAGTGCCTGCCAAGACTGATCCTGGGTGTCCTTTCCTGTGTCCCAGTTAGGATCCTGGGCAAGAAGAGCACCTGCTCCCTGTCCTTGAGGTGTCAGGGTTTGGCCAGGTCAGCTCTGAGAAGGTGGGGATGAGCTGGGACAAGGTTGAGGACACCTTGGCTCTGGGTCCTACCCCCAAGTAGCTGCCCCATGTAGTCCCACACACCTGTGAGGAGCCAGGCTGTCCCTTCCCTGCCACACAGGCCCTGCTGGGAGAGCCCTTTGTGCTTGGGGGGAGGCTGGGTTTTAACTGATTGAAGACTTGGATCATTCCTGGTGTGGCTGATGAGGATTTTAGTGTGAATGTGCAATTTTTGTTTCCTTGCTTCTTACGTCTCCGGTTTAAAATAAAATGACTGTGTTCACTTGGCTGTGCCCACGTGTGTTTCCTGGGGCTGGGATTCCCAGGGCAGGGTGGTGCTAATGGGGTTCAGGTGCAACACCCTCTGGATCATGTGTCCTTGTTCCCCCAGTTCAAAGAGAGGGACAGGATTATTGTTATTATTTTACCTTTTCCCCCCCACTATGCCTCTACTATGAGCAGTGGCAGTTTCAGGGTAGGACTACACAAACACACTGGAAAAAATGGTGGAGAGTGAGAAACTTTTAATCTGCTTTATCCCTACAGTGAATTTTTTTCGAGAGGGAACATGATAAACCACCCTTAATCCAGCTGGATGACCCCAGCCCTGCAGGGTGCAGAGTGGGGATTGCCTTGGGGGCAAACCTGGGGTGGGGTTGGCTGCAAGGGGCAGCCCTGAGTGAGCAGTTGCCCTTTCTTGGCACCAGGCTGACCCCAGTGTTGGCACTCAGTCCCTGGTGTAACAGAATTCTCACTATGACTGCAGTTAGCACATAGCTTGACTTGTGTTCAGGCCAGTATATGTTCCCCACAACCCCACCTGTGCAGGGATTTGTCCAGAAGATGTTGTTTCACTCTTTCACCTGCTGCTTTTTCTTTTTCCTCTTCTTGGGAGCTGCTCCTGGCTTTGTTCCCTCTCCTGGCTGTGGGTTCTCCTTGGCTGCTGCAGGCAGGGAGCTGTGAACAAGAGCAAACAGCCTGAGCCACAAACACCCCCTCACACCCTCCCCGGAGTGCCCAGAGCGCTGACCTTGGCCACGGTGCCCCCAGAAGCAGCTGGAGTCCCCCCCAGCCCCCTCTCACCTGGGGGCATCAGCCCCTTCCCTGCAGCGCTCCAGCACAGCCACAAAGAAGCCATGGGTGAGGGTCTCTGCAGGGGAAGCACGGAGGCAGCTCTCTGCTCCAGAGAAGGCCGCGAGTCCTCGGCAGGGCCAGGATGGGAAGGCAGTCACCAGACTGTGGCACGGAAAAGGGGTCAGCACCAAACCCTGCCCTGCAGCCCCCCAGGCTCGCTGAACCAGACCCACCTGAAGGCTGAGCCCCACTCCTGCAGCACAGCCTGCACCACATCCTCGTTCTCTTCCTGGTGTAGGGAGCAGGTGGAGTAGACCAGGCGCCGGAGCGCTGGAAAGCTCAGGGCATGGCTGAGGATGCGGCGCTGGAAGCCAGCCAGTGCCTGCAAGCGTTCAGCACTCGGGGCTGCCTCCTCCCCTGGCCCCCGGGTCACCATTCCTGCTGGACAGGAGCTGTCACCCAGGGTTTGCACACCCACAGCACCAGGTGAGCAGCTGGATGTTACCCAAACATTACCTGAGCCACTGCAGGATGGGTCGAGAAGGATGTGGGTCACCCTGCTGTATTTGGGGTCTCTGGGGTCCACAGTCAGGAAGTCCTGCTGGACCAGCTGGCAGCCAGTGACCCCTGCCCGTGTCAGCAGTGTGTTCATGGTGGCCACGCGCTTGGGGTCCACATCAAAGGCAAAGATCTGTCTGAAGGCAGAGCCAAGTGCCCAAGACGAGCCGTCAACAGACCACCCGGCCTCCAGGAACACTCAAATACTGGGCAGGCAGACCTTGAGAGCTGCCTCCCCTCTGGCAGGGTTATGGAACAGGCTGGGGGCTGGGGGTGAACCCCTACGTGACTTCATGTCCCGTCAGGTCCTTCCAGTGGCCCAGAAGTGACCAGCTCATCTGAGTTGGTGACAGGTTGTAGTTCCTCCTGCCACGTTCTTGTGGGATCAGGGAGACCAGGGCCACCTACCCCCTTCCCTCCACCCCTGCATACAACCCTGCCCTCACCCCTTGTTCTTCAGGATGGCAGCCAGGTGGCTTGTCTTGTTTCCAGGGGCAGCGCAGGCATCGATGACATGGGAGCCAGCAACAGGGCCAAGGAGGAAGGCAGGGAGGCAGCTGGCCTGCAAGAGGGCCAAGACAGTCAGAGGTGTGGGCAGAAACACCTGGCCCCTCCTCAGGCATGGCTGATACTGTGGGGTCACAAGGACCACCATGGCACAGGGCCAAGGCCACCACCACACTCCACCAAACGCCTTGCCCTACCCATAGCCCCCTGCTCCTCCCAACTCCCACAGGGATTTTATACCCCAGGATATCATCCTGGGGTGTTAGACAACAAAAGCAAAGCCCCAGGGGAATCCCACAGTTTCTGCTTTGACTTAAATGCTACAGCAAGCTGAGCCATTGTGGAAGGAGTTCACCCTTCATCCCTGTCAGTAGTTTTCCTACCCTTGCAACTTTCTGCTCCCCAGTTCCCTCACCTTGTCCTGCAGAATTACGTGTCCTGAAGTATACAGCAGGTTGTCGTGGAGGTCTGTCTGCGAAGGGAAAACCAACAGCTCCGGAAGATGCAGATCCAACAAGAATTTTTTTCCAGAAAGGGTCTTCAGCTCCTCCACACTGTTCATAAGACACAGGGAGCATGAATACAAAGTCCTAATCCCAGTGCTCAGAGCAGAGCCCAGGCTGAGAAATCCCTCCACTCCACAGCTCCTCTCCTGCTCCAGGCAGCACCCAGATAGGCAGCATCTAAGAGTGGGGAGCAATAGAGACCCCAACCCAACCACTCTGAGCACCAAGCTCAGCAACCCTTCAACCCACCAGACCTCATCCCACTTGCTGACATTCCGGGAAAGGTGGGATAGCAGAAAGAAATACTCACCTGGCTGCCTTGCCCAGATAGGCATATCCCTGGCGCTTGAAGAAGTCGATCACATCATCCACACAAGTCTTCAGGGTGTTGACCCGGACGTAGCGTGGGACCTGGGAAGCTGCAGGGGCCAGACAGGTCAGACACAGACCCCACTGCTCCTTCCAACACAGGGTGCCCCCCCAGCCCGAGCCCACTCACCTGCGGTGCTTACTGCCTTCTCCGGGGCCAGCAGGTCCTCGTTGCGGCTCACCTTGTGCCGCACCTTCATGCGGGCCAGCTCGGCCTCCAGCCGTGCCCGGTGCCGCCGGGCCAGGGCCTTCCACCGGCCCCCGCACTTCAGGCCCTTGCCGAAGAGCAGGTCATACACCAAGACCTGCGGGGAGGGGACGAGGTGAGCCCGGCCCCGCCGCCCCAGGCCACCGCGGCTCGGGGACACCGCGGCCCAGGGACTCTGCGAATCCGGGACACGGCGGCTCCAGGACATGGTCCCACGACACCGCGCCCCGGGGATTCGGCGGATGCCCGTACCTTCGCCAGCTGCGGCGCAAGCTTCTTTTCGGCCTGCAGCAGCGCGGCTCCATCCAGCAGCTTCTCCAGCACCGGGGCGTAGCGGAGCGTCTCGGACACCAGCGCGTACAGCTGCCGGACATGCTGCGGAGCAATCAGGGGTGAGCGCTACCGGGCCCGCTCCGGGGCTCCCCCCGCCTTCCCGGGTGCGATTTCCCCCGGCCGCCCCGCACCCCCGTTCCCCCCGGGCGCACCGGGAAGCCGCTGTTGTACACGAGGCTCTTGAGGCCGCCCTCGCCGCGCTCCAGCCCCGCCAGCACCGCGGCCGCCGCGCTGTACAGCGCCATGTGCGCCCCGCGCCGCTGCCGCCGCGGCCTCCGGGGCCGCAGGGGGCGAGCGCGGCCCCGCTCCCAGCTCGGTGTCCGGGCAGGGCGGGCAGGGGCGCGGAGCGGAGCGGAACGGCGCCGTGCGGGCGCTGCGAGGGGGGCAGCGCCGGCGGAAGGGCCCGGTCACCCCGGCCATACATCAGCGCAGTCACCCCGGTCCCCCCTGTCACCCTGGTTACCGCGGTGATCCCAGCCCCCGTGTCCGCCCTGCCCACCCCATCACACAGTGACCTCGGCCACTCTGGTTGCCCCGGCCAGCCGGTGACCCCGGTCACCCCCATCATCCCGGCCACCCCATCATCAGTGACTCGGGCCAGCCCAGTGACACCAGTGACCCCCGTCACCCTGTTCATCCTGGGGATCCCAGCCACCCTGACCAACCAATCACCTTGACCATCTTGGTTACCCCAGCCACCCCAGGGACTGTGGTCACTAGCCCTGGACACCCCATCCGGTCCCTGATGTGGAAGCACACTGACATTACTACTGATTGTTAGACCCTGTGGTACCCTGTGGGTGATGGGTTGGTGGGGATTTGCTACAGACTTTGGTGATGTTCATGCAGCACTCAAACACAGCAAAGAATGCCCAGCCCTGGAAAGAGGGGTCTGCTCCAGGAAAGGGATCTGCTCTGAGAAAGAGAGATCTGCTCTGGGAAGCTCAGAGCTGTACATGGGGGTAAAGGATACCCAGAACAGCCTCTATAAGGCAGTATCCCAGCAACCTGGCTTTGAAACTGTCCCCGAACCATCTGGTGTGATGGATCAGTCACTGCAGCATGACCAGCTCCAGGGACACCTGGATCCAGGAACAGGTGAGAGCTGCTTGGCAGGGTCGGAAGGGTTAGCAGTGGGTGCTCGGGATCAGTCATCTTGCACCCGAACAATCAAAGGACGTAAGAATCTCTAGTGACAGGATCTGGAGGAATGGCTGGGGCTCTGTCACTGTCAGGGAAGGTTTAGTTTGGTATGAGGAAAAGGTTCTTCCTCCAGAGGGTGCTGGGGCACTGCAGGGGCTCCCCAGTGAATGCTTACAGCCCCAAGGCTGCTCAAGGACCTGACCGACTTTCATCGACTTCTCCTGGTCAAGCTGATGGGACCCAGTCAGACAAGGTAGCTCCTCCTCAGGACGGACCCCAGTGGCTCCCCTCCTGCAGCCTCAGCCCCTTTGGGATGTTCCTGCTCCCAGGGAAAGCCAGGCAGGCTTTTGTCCCTCTGTCCTGTCCCTGCACACCCGGGAAGGGCTGTCTGAAGCCCTGCACGAGCACTCGCTGCACACGAAGGGCAGGAGCAAGAGAAGAGCTGGCTGTCTTGGCTTCCCACAGCAGCCAGGGTCTCCAAGTCCCCGTGGGACTTCCCTTATCCCCACAGCAACAGAGAGAATGTTCTCAACAAAGCATGTTGTTATCAGCTAAGTTAAGATAACTTGACTTTAAGATATTATCAACTAGGTCAATTTTGCTATTAATTACAATTTCCTTTTTTTTTTTTTTAAACCGGTGGGTTTTTTGTGATGTGGTGAAAACCTGTTATGCTTTCAGAAAAAAAGAAAGAAACCAAACTGTGTGGGGCAAGGCACAAGGAATTATTTTGTCTGATTATGAAAAAATATAGTTTCTCATATAATAACTCCTGGTTCATGGATGTGTTTGGCTTATGAGCATCCCTCATACAAATCCCATCATGATTCCATCCCCTGGCTTCCCTCTTAGCATCTCCCAGGGAGCTGGGGATGGTCCTGGCTTCTCCCTGAGGAATGTCCAACTTCGGGAATGTGCTGACAGAAGGATCACCCTGGGGCTGTCACCCAGCCTTACACTGAAGGTCTTTGAGACACAGCAGAGCAGAGGATGAAGCACCTTCTCGCCAAAGGGGGGCTGGGGACAGGCTGTGGGGACCTCCCTTCTTCCTTCTGTGAATATAAAAAATTTGGGTTTATGTTCTTTTGTGGTGATCTCAAAAATTCACAAGAATGTGGGTTTCTTTCTGCAGTTATTTTGCATTCTTATTAGTTTTGTGTTTATACCATTTCAAGTGCCTGAAGAAGGCCAAACTTACCAACTTGTTCCAAACCAGTTTGGATTTTTTTTTTTTGCATGTGGTGGTTTTTGGTTGGTTGTTGGTTTTTTGTTTGTTTGTTGTTGTTGTTTTGTTTTTGTGTGTGTGTTTAGGTTTTTTGTTTTGTTTGGGTTTGTTGTTTTGGTTTTGTTTGCTTTTGTGGGGAGTTGGTTTTGTTTTGTTTTGTTTTGTTTGGGGGTTTTGTTTGGTTTTGGTTTTGGTTGTTTGGTGTGTTGGTTGGTTGGTGGTGGGAGTGTTTTTGGTTTTGTTTTCCCTTTGGTTTGGGTTTTTGTTTGACTGGGTTTTGGTTTGGGTTTTTGGGGCTTTTTGTTTGGTTTTTTTTCCTATAGTTGTTTGGTTGGGTTTTTTTGATGCTGTTTTTGTGGGTTTGGTTTTTGAATTTTGGGTTGGTTTGGGGTTTTTGTTCCAACGAAATGCGGAAGGCAGTGCAGACCGCGGACTACATCCCCCAGCGTGCCCCGCGGCGCTCCGTGACGTTCCGCCTTCCATTGGTCCTGCGCAGCGGCGTGTTCATTCCCGCGTGGCTCTAAAGCGGCGCGTTAGGCCGGGGCCGCTGCTCGGAGCGTGATTGGCTGCGGCTGCCGCTCCGGGAGGGCGGCGCTTGGCGGCGCGGCCATGATGGCGGGCGGCGCCGGCCGCGAGGGGCGAGGGGCTGGGCGGCGGGCCC